AAAGATGGATTGGCTACCTATGCAGATCTTAAAGTCTTGAATATAAGATGTAGTCAACACCCATGCAGAGAAGGAAATAGAACATTTTGACCTCCAGCATTGTTCATGTTGAAAAGAGAAGAAAAAATGCCTTTTGCAAAATGTTGTCTAGTATTCGGGTCCTCGATGGATATTCATCAAATTTGTTGTGATGGGTTCACGTGAATGAACGAAAAATACATAGGGTTTAAAAGTAACGATTGCCATGTTTTAATGCAGCAGTTACTCTCGCTTGCAATACGTCTGGTTTTGCCTAAAGCTATTACTATGGTATTATTATAGTTGAGTTCAATTTTCAAACAGTTGTGCAGTAAGAAAGAGCATGAAGAAGGATTCAAGCAACTGAATTCAAGAATTGCATTGACATTATGTCAACTTGGAAAAATATTCCCTCCTGCATTTTTTGATATAATGGTACACCTCCCAGTTCACTTGGCAGATGAAGCAGCTCTTGCAGAGCCTGTTCAATATAGATGGATGTATCCAATTGAACGGTAATTAACAAATTTTTTAATAATTTTTTACAAATGTAGTCATAACTTTAACTAATAATTATAATAATTTGTGTTTCAATTTATAATTGTAGGTATTTGCAAACAATGAAGCACTTTGTTCGTAATAAGGGTCGTCCTGAAGGTTCTATCGCTAAAGCATATTTGGTGGACAAGTGGTCGTCCTTATGTTCGATGTATCTTAGAGATGTCGAGTCTCGTTGCACCCGTAGAGGTCAAAATGAAGATGGTATTGGGCGTGGAGTATCTGGTAGGTTATCAATTTTTTACTCCAAAGGATGTTATATGGGTTCAGGAGAAAATGTGGAGCTCGATCTAAATGTTCTTGATCAATGCCATAGATACATTCTAAATAATTGTGATGAAGTTACCTATTTAGAAGGTAAGAACATTTAATCATATGTCTTAATGTTTTATTGGTTTTCTTAACTTTGAAAAATTAATTATCTAAATTTGGACATAATTGCCCAGGCAACATGAGGAATTCTTGAAAACTAAACATTGTCGAGAAAGGTTAACTATGTGACAAATCAAGGAGCTAAGCAAGAAAGAATTTACATAATGGTTCAAGCAACGTGTGAGTTGATATAACAATCACATTATTTATTTATATTTTTACATTTTAATAATAACATGTTTATAGTTATCATGTCAACCTTTATCTTCATTCTTATTACAGATGAATTCAAGATGTCATCCTAATGACACGTTGATATCTCCAGACTTGCATTTGGTAGCTAATTATCCTAGTAGGGTTGTGAGTAAATATAAAAGTCATATTGTTCATCAGTTCAGATTTCGCATAAAATCTATGGATGATAAGCATAAGAATCAAAATTGTGGTGTCTTTGTACCTGCAAATGTTCCTGGTGCAATTGGGCAAGTGAATTGTTATGGCAAAGTTGTAGATATGTTCGAGGTTAAATATTGTGGTCATACTGAGGCAGGAGGTAGGGGTCGAGCTATGATGTTATTTAAGTATGAATGGGTTAATAATGAAAGTCAACGAGGAATGAAGACCAATCAATATGGATTTACTATGTTGAACTTCAATCGATTGGGATTTAAAGAGGATCCTTTCTATTATCATCACAAGCATTACAAGTATTTTACATTGAGGACACAATTGAAAAAGATTGGCTCTTAGTTGTTCGAACACAGGAGTTTGACGTATTATAGGATAGTGATGCAATTGATGATTATGCTATACCTTGACAATGAAAATTTCCTTACAAGGGTTGGTGTGGAAGAGACTCCTTTTCATGAATCATTACCGTTGCCTATTGAGTTCGTTAATTATTCCAATACTGATGACGACCTAACAGATGATGACTTGGAATAAATATATTAATTATTTTATTTATTTTAAGTATTAATTAGACTATGTTTCAATTAGTATGTGATGATATTTAATAATAAAATTATATTTTTGTTTTTTATTATGTATTTTATTCAAGTTAAATTTTATTTATTAAAATCTTAAAATGTTATATGAGATAACACAAAAAAAAAAAAAAAAAAAAAAGAGCTAGTTATTTTTTTTCATTGGGTTAAACAATTTTTTTTTTTTTTTTGAAACTAGTCTGTTGTCGTTTTTAGTTGACAGTATTGGTCGGATAATTTGAAATATTAGGCGGGAAATTTCCCACTTGTTTTGCATGGGGAAATGGATGGAGAATACGTAAGTGTCAAACTTAGTGTTGATTTTAACCTACGCTATCATATTTTAATTTGACGCGAGTTTCATTAAACAAACGCTACGTGAATTTCAAAAAGTGTGTCAGAAGTTCATGTCGTTTAAGACCGACACCAACATTAATTTAAACCGACATTGTGATTTTCAATAAAGTGTGTCAGAAAGTTGACTGGTTCATTTAACTCGATATGAATATCAGTAAAGTGTGTCAGGTTGGCGTCTGTTTTAATCGACGCCATGTACATTTAATTCAACACCAATGGCTTTTAATTCGACGCCTGTCAATCAATGTTGGTTTAAACCGACGCCAACTAAGTACCCATATTTAAACCCCTCCCTTTCCCATTTCATCCGTGCTTTCATTTCTCCCCCAATTTCAGTCTTAATTCTTCTCCTTCCCCATTTCATCCATGCGTCCATTTCTTCCTCCTTTTTCAATTTTTCCTCTTCTCATTCCCCTTTTGCTATGGATCACCATTTTGAAGATCAACATTCTGAGGAACTCCAATTCGAAGAGGAAGAGCTTGACGGTGGTTCATTTTTAAATTATTATGATTATTAATTTTAGTTTTTGTTTTGTATTCTAACTAGTTTTATGCTTAAATTGAAATTTTATTTTTGTTTCTTGGTTTTTAATTGTTTTTTTTGTATTTATAAGGATCAACTCAACGGAGATGCGGACCCTCAATTCCGAATTGGAAAGAACATCCTTGTTCATTTGATTCGTCTGGAAAATGCATTAGTGATAATTCTAGTGCGTTTTCGAAACATGTAGCGGCAGAGGTTAGAGATTATAGAAGTATTTCAATGGTGGCATACTGGAATAAAGAAAAAACAAAGGTAAACGTTTCATGATTTATTTTATTATACCTTGACATTTGTCTAATAAACATAATCGGCAGATGAAAACTATGAACCACACAACCGGTTCAAAATCTTTTGCAAGAGTTCGGGAAGAATTTGTATGGGTTGTACATTTATAAGAATTGTGGTTAATTTTAAATTTAATATATATAGTTGGTAGAAATTTTATTTTTAATATGAAGTTTGCTTAAAATTGTTTGTTTTTTCATTGACATGGTGGGAATTATTTTTATATAAATTTTTTTAATTATTATTAATTAAAAACTAACACAGATTTTTTTTTTATTATTAATATATTTGGTGTCACTTATGAATGACAACATAATAATTAATTTATGTATCGAGATGTTATGCAATGTCAGTTAAAATCGAGAGTAGTTTGAGTATTTTATTTGTTTAACTGTTACGTGATGTTGGTTAGGACCGACAATAGGTTTGATATTTTAATTCTTTAATTGTTGCTTGATATCGGTTAGGATCGCCATCATGGCAGAATTCAACGTCGCTTCTAACCAATGTAAGTTAAGATGTCACTTTTAACCGATGTCGGATTTTTACCAAAAATCCGACAGTAATTGGGGTTTCTTGTCAGTTTTTCCACCGCCACTGATAGCCTTTTTTGTAGTAGTGCTCATTTGCAATAAACAAGAACAGATTGGCTGAAACAATTAATTCGAACCTCATGAGAATAAATCTTGCCCTAGAGTAACCAAAGAAGGTTGAAGTATTTGGTATCATCGATACTCACAGTAACACGGGACAAGGTTAATAAATAAAAAGTTGCAAGTTCATTGATTGAGACTTGCCTTTAGGTACGCGACAGGTCCAGTTGAAGCTAATATAAAGAAGACAAACTTACAGCATGCATGCAATCTTGCTGTAAATGTTTCTTTCATTAATGCTTTAATGTTTTACTATGTGGTTAACATTTGATTAATGATCCATGGAATGAAATATTTTCATATCGTTTTCTTTTAAGATTTAACACATAAATAATAAAAGTGTAGATAATATCGTATGTATTAAATTTTTTTATTAAAAGTGTTTTGATGTTAAAAGGAGAAAATCTCTAGTCGAAATTTTATCTTTTCCATTTTCCTTATGTGTTTGCATTTTCGTATATATTTGCTTCAGAAATTTTAGTATGAAGTCTTTGAGAAAAAGAGAAATTTAGTATAAGTTTATATTCTCAAATTCTTTATTTCCCTTTATCGTGAAGTGTAAAGCATGCGATAGTACTGCTTTAATTTTCTTTCTTTTTCGGTAAATGACGGTGCTTCTTTTTTTGGTCAGACAAATGATGGTGCTGCAGCTGCTTAAGAATGAAAGAACCCCATCACCTATGCTAAAATATAGAATTGCAATTAGCAAGGATCACCTCATACTTTTGGTTAAAGTTTTAGGATTTTATAATTTATATGTCATTTTATATTTTATTTTACAGTTTATGTATCTTAATAAAATTATATATTTTAAGTATAAACAAACACTTATTTATATGATATATAATAAATTTATAATAAATCTGCTTAGTCCACTTAAATCCAGCCTAACCGCCTTGGTGTCAGGCTCTAGCCTACTGCCCAAATAGCTACTAGCCAATTAACGGCTAGAGTCTTTTAAAATCTTGACAAAAACATTGAAAAACCAAATTGGTTTTCCGTTGATATATATAAGTAGGAATAATATATTTGATCAGAATCTTGGAGATTGATGGGAAGGACATGCTTTTTTTGTTGCTTTCTTTTGTGTCTTTCTTGTCTCGTTGTCTTTCTTTAGCTCTGCTTTTACTCTTCTTTTTCTTTTGTTTCTTTGTCCCTCTGATTTCATGAGCGCGGTACCTGATTCTCATCTTTCCCATGGCAGCCCCCATTCATCCAGACACGAGAGGCATAACACACACATATATATTGATTTGAAAATCATGGAAATTGAATTAGGTTTAATTTGATTTAATTATTTCCCTATTCAATTTCAATGTGACCTGCCCAAAGTGAACTCCAAATTGGGCTTCCTGGGGCTTAAGCTTGTCCCTCCTCCTGAAATGTTTGTTGAGGAGCTGCTTACATCCGATATTCTCTCATAGCTTAATCCTTTCGGATCCATCATGTTCAGGTCCTTCCTCTGAAACAAAAGATTTATATAAAATTATAAATAAATACGCAAAAAGGATAAGAAGCAAAACAAAAGATCTGTGTGAACTGTGAAGGCGGGAATCGAAGGACGTTTGACTACTCTCACAGGGAATAATTGAATACTAATTTATCAAAGGGAAGTGAAACTTTGAAAGAGTACACTAGAAAGTAGAAAGCCTGCACAAACTGAGCTCCTCCCATAACATTATTCTCCCTATAGCTATAGCTCCTTAAATCTTCATCAATTATCATATGTATGTATATTTATTTATTGGAAACTTCATGTGATATCTTTTGACAATGCTATCATTGTTATTATATATAATTCATCTCGTGACACTAGCTAGTCTCCAATTTCATGCATGATCAACCTATGGGGCTCGTGAGCCAATTGGATTAGGTTTTCGGTCTAGGGCTAGGTGTTTATAAATTGTTGTGATGAATGAGAGAGTTTGCTGTAATTTTATGCAAATAAATGGGAGAATAGGCTTCACCTTTTACTTATTTATATATTTACCTTTTTTCACTAGTGGAAAGGAGATTTACATGGAAAATATATATACTGAGAATAATGAACAAGCTTTTACATATCACAAGGATTCTATCTTTTTAACTGGGACATGTGAAATACGACAGATTAACCCTTCAATTTTTAAGGGAACCAGCTTTTGGAAAGCCTATGTATCCCTTTTATCCTCTCTATGAGTAATCTGCACGACTTGATGGAGAAAGATGAAAAGAACTACCTTTAATCTGTTCATTGATTCCCATGGCATGACATCTATATACGTACGTATAATTGATATATACATGAAAAGCGTAAAATATTGCAAGGTAAATCTTAACATACATATGCTTGGAAATACATACATAAATGCAAAAAGTATTGAATTGGTACCTCCTGATCATCGAGAGACGTTATAATATTTGCAGATGCAGAATCATTTGAGTTTGCATGCAACCAAGCTTCTCTGCTGCAAACAACAGATTGAGAGAATATTATCTATCAGTGGAAGCCATGCATGCAGATGAAAAAGCAAACTGAGAGAGAAAAAAAAAAGGCAATCTTTTACTGCTGTCTTGTTTATAGTTATAGATCCTCTCTCCCCTTTCGCACTTTAGTCTTTGCATTTGTGCTGATTGAAATAAAGTTGAACTCCCATGTGACATGCATTCACTAACAAATGAATATATGAATGTAGCTACCAATTCACAGACTACAAGAAACTTTCAAAGGGGGTACAGCTTTGGCACAAAGATTTCGACTAGGGTTTACCTTTGGCCCTAAGTTTTCCAAAGTGTAGGCCACTTTTGATAATACATGCATGCATATCTCTCTCTCTCTCTCTCTCTCTCTCTCTCTCTCTGTACATACATAAATATATACATAGCTCTATATCCAAGCCCCACAAAATCAAGGAAAGAGATATCTCCATCGATTTTTGACAGTCAAATGAGAGCCCCAAATCTTGGAAATTTGAAACCCTAGCTAGGGGGTATCTTTGGGTCAAGATCACTCAAGTGTGGGTGGGTTTCTTTTTAATTTCTTTTTACCATGTACCCACAGCCCACTTGATGAAAGAGGTTATAATTACCCCATCATGATCTTTGATATGAAGTTTCAGTCAATTTTCAAGCATGTCTCTGTGATGGACTGAGACTGACAAATATGAAATCATCATCATTACTTGTTCTTTTTGTGATTTCTTTCTTGCATGCCACAATATATGAGCGCCATGCATGCATATTTAATTAATGTTTAAACAATTACACAAGGCAACCTAGACAACAACAAAACATATATACATTGAAATATTTTTTCTCTTTTATGCACTCGGGTTTATTTTTACCCCTTAATTATTCTTTTATTGACTCAAACCAAAGGCTAAAAATAATATAGTGATGTGTAAGTGGAGAAAAAAAGCGCAGGAAATGACTTTATTAATGTTTTTGAAGGATAAACTGTTATTATCATTTGAGTAATGGTCAGGTCTGAAATTGGTTATTAATTATGGACATGCAAATCAGGATTTGTCGTTCCAGCTGGCCATTGTATGAATTATCAATAACAACCAACTAGTAAATGAATAGGGTAAATTAAAATAGAGAAGAGCGACAGGCAGCGCTCCTTTTTGTAGGTCTCTGTGGAAAAATTGCTCCAGAGGCCGTCTGCAGTACTAATATGCAATTTAATTAGCGTTTAATTAGTGTGCTACCTTGAAGGATTGCTCCAGAGGCCGTAGTACTCCTTATTATCTTGAACAGTAGTCGATCTTGAACCCTGCTGAGGTGATGGTAGCTGCTCACAAGACCTTCTTGGGTTCTGAAGTTCATACATCATGTCTTCAGTGGTGTCACCAGATGAAGCATTTTCATATACGTCACTTTGTCCTGTACCACAAAACGATAAAATTAATTCATGCTAAGAACCCCTTAAGATAATTTTAATGTGCCACATTTACATTTTCTGGAAAAGGTAGAGACATTATTAACCTGAAGAGGCCGCTGCTTTATCAGTGGTTTTCACCGTCCGGTACATCTGCAATGTTTGGAATTCATATTAATAAATAAATAATCATTTACATTAGAATAGGCAATGCATCATTACACTAATAATTTGGGACATAATTTGACCAACTAAAAGACCAATTTATAACAAATATGTATACATGTCTGAACACAATGCAAGTACATACAGAAACATTGATATGGATGATGTTGCAAAATTCCATTATTCATGTATGAATGTATGTCTATGTATGTATATTGAATATGTGGGTCAAATAACTTGTTGGAGCAAATATTAGAAAATATGAAAATAACACCCTTTCTAAGAAATATGGTTAACACTATTTTTCATTCAATTATTAAAATTATAAAGTAAGAAAGACTAACAGACTTGGAGATTGAGGCTTGCATAAATGCAATGTCCTAAAGACAGAATTTCATCCCTACTCTTGTACTTGTAGTTCGGTAGACGTTCATCTCTCACGATTCAACAATCTATAATCCGAAGTCAAAGTACTTTAATCTTCAGACTCTAGCAAACTTCATATATTCCGTACTCTCAAGACACGACTCAGAGTTTGACTAACAAAAATACAAGACATTGGAGAAAATTCTTCTTTTTTTTCTTCTGATTCATTAGACATGTGGGATGTTTGAGTTTATATAGAACTCAAGCCACCCCTTTTGAAACATTGTGACTGTTGTCTAAAGTTCCAACGAACAGACGCAACTCATGAATTTGGATTCAACTATAACACTTGACTCTTATTTTTCATTTATACAGAAATTAAATACTATAAATTAATGTTATAATATATAATTTCCAACATAACTATGGTTAGAAATGCAGGACAAGGTGTGTGGTTAGAATGGAACCCATATATGGATCTGATCTGAAGAAGATATCATTGAGAAATGATGATGTTTCTGTACTTGTTTATTTGTTTCTTTTTCTTTATATATATTTGTTTAATAATAATATATCCTAATAAATACAAAAGATGGATAGATGGATGGGGTGTTTTAAGCTTGACTTCATTTTGAATTTCTTGGGCTTTGTCTTCCTCGATTTCTGAAATCGATGCATACATCTCACATCTCAGAAGTCAGTAGCATACTCTTTCTTTCTCTCTTTCTCTCTCTGCAGAGGGGAGAGGGCTGAGAGGAAAGAGAGAGAGAAAGCATGGATTATTTATCTCTCTAACTTAAGATGGACGGTTCATTTTTCCAAGTAAAAAGCTGTTCATTATGAGCTTGCAGAAGAAGAAGCAGAACCATCAGATCTAGTCTATCTATCGTTAATCTATCGCAAGTAGAAAGAAAACAGTCTCTTCTGTACTGCACAAAAACAACACCATTGGAGTTTGGCGCGCGCGCACACAGAGACACACACATTTATATTTTAATTCAATAATAAATAACACATAGCTAGCACCTTCTTAATGTATAATATTAAAACTAATGTAGTTTGTGAACATTTCAAACTGAGAGAGAGAAAGAGCTGCAATCAAGTTAATTGAGAGGTGACACATCTTCAAGAACCAATTAATTGAGATGGAAGCTGGAACAAAAGCCAAACATGTATGCTAGCTAGCTAGCTATATACACAAATGCAGTTAAAGGTTCCATAGCTACCTATTTCACAAAATTAGAAGAAGCAGAAGAAGAAGACAGATATAATAAAAGAATCAAAGATAGGTTGTTACCTGTAAGTGAGATTTAACATGTGCCAAGGTGAGATCTTTGACATCCATTAGCTCAAGAACTGACTTTGGTGTTGCTCCTTATCATAATTAAATTATAACCCACTAAATTAATAATTGAATTTAACAGAAAAATAAAATATAAAAAAATAGTTAGCGAGTGAGTGAGAGGAGTGAGAGAGTGAGTACTGACTTTCATGGCCACCCAAAAGCTCAACGGCGTGAACAAAGCGGGCATGAAGATTTGTAGTCCAACGCATCCGAGGGGCCCTCATGCTTCGTTTGGCCGGAAACCGAGAGAAAATCCGGGATCTTAGAAGGCCACCATGATGACCTTGATGATGATGATGATAAGCAGCTGCCTGAAATAGTGGGGTTGAACTAGAAATTGTAGAGGTAGAGGTTGCCGAATTATTATCGAAATTAACCGGCTTTTGTGAAGAAGAAAATGGGAAGAAATTATTAGGAGGACGAGGAGGATGAGGGTTTTGATAGAGTGGAATTCCTCTAATGGGTCTCAAACACCCAAGCAGCTCTTCCGATTGCTGTAATTGTTGTTGCACATCTGCTTGGGGAACTTGTGGAAAGTAATGGCTTTGCTGAAACTGAAAGGGATGGAAAAGATTGCCATTATCACCATTACAGCTAGTACTGGCTGTAATATTACTGCAGTGGTGGGGACGATGATTGGTGTTCGAAAGCTCATCGGAGGTGGAGTTTCGGGAGTCCAAGGCTCTCTTCCAAAACCCCAAATCCATCTCCTCCTGATGACTATGATGACTGCTTCTCCTCCAACTAGTTGATGAAGAGGAGGACGAGGGTTTGCTGTTTGGAGGGCTAATTTGTAGAGATAAATCCGGTTGTGCAGGGAATAGCTCCATCAATAATTGATCTCCCCACCTCCCTCTTTAAATTTCCTTCTCCCAAGCCCTATGTAGATATGTGTGTATATATGTATATATATAGCTTGCTTATGATTCCCTCCTGTATGTCTATGAGCACTTTCTTCTTCCTTGTGCTGGGAAATAACAGTGTGTGTTTGTATATATGAAATAACAGTGTGTCTTTGTATATATATTGTGTGAGCTAGTCAGCTAGCTTCCTTGGTGATCTGATTAGGGTTAGGGATTTTCAGGTGTTGGACGGATTTCTGGGTATTTTTTGTTGATGGGTTTTGATCAATTTGTGTGGGGGTAGTTGCAGAGAGATTTCACATTGAGATGAGAGAGAGAGGGGGCGCCGGGGAGGGGGGAAGAAATGACAAGGTATGAAGTGAATGGATGTTTCTTTTGTGTGAAGTATATGTGAGAAAATGACCCTTGAGGGGCTCTATAGAAAGAGAAATTAAGAGAGAGAAGGTAAGGTGTTTGATTATTTTGTGGACGTGGGGGTAGGGTACTACTACTAGGGTAAGAAAGTACGATAAAGAGAAACAGTAAATAAAGTTTGAGACATGTTTCTTTCTAATCACTTGATTCCTTTATCGCTATAACTATTTCTATTTATTTATTTTTTATTTTTTTGTAAATAAAAAAAGGAATAAGATTTGGCTGCTGAATCTTCAGCAGCCACTCCTACTTACACCCAATCTCGGATGGACACGTGTCCAAGTTTATTTTTTTTAATCAAAATTTAGACACATGTCCATCCGTGATTGTATGTAAACATAAATGGCTGTTGAAATGTCCAGCAGCCAAGTTAATTCCTCAAAAAAGGGGGTGGTTTGGATTTGGATTTGGGGTATTGTGTATAGTTATATATAAAAGTAGTGTTACATCTTTTCTTTAGAGGAGAAAGTAAAAACGGAAAAAGGGAGCCAAAAAAGAAAATTTGGGTATAAATGAACTTTAACGTATGCATACACCCCTCCCTCAACAACTCATAGTTGTAAAACTTTTTCTAACCCCCGCACGCAAACAGAGTCCTTGAGCAGAAACCTTTGGTTTGTTTGTGCTCCTTTTGCAAACCCTAAATTGAACACGCCCACACGCACCATGATTGTACACTGATATCCACATCCTATGGTGTAGAATAATTGTCTCCAATTTTCTCCACATTCAGTCTTTATTTGTTTCGTTCAGTCACCAAAGAGTCATGATCATTTAACTATAAAAATTATGGGTAATGCTAAGAAGATCAAAATTTTAAACGAAATTATGTAAACCAAATGATGTGGATGTTGATAATTGGATTATTACTTAAGTGTTGATAACATGTTTATTTCCTATTGGTGACACATCATTTGTTTTGCAAATTTGGTTTAAAAATTTGGTCTCCAGCGTTATCCAAATATTAAACACCCAACATTATCATTTAGTCTCCCTAGCATTACTCTTTAGTATTGGATAATATTTAGCTACTTTTTTTTTTAGAATTTGAAGTCTTATTATACCTTCTTTTTTTCATGGTACGTATCAGTCCAGAAAACCAATAGTTGGATTTTCATTTAGGAATCTAATGGATCTTTGCAAAGTTAGATCTTTGTATAAAACTCATGTCGTTGAGTGATAAGGTACCGTTGCAGCCGAACTTCCGATTAATTTTCATGGTATGTACCACTGACAGTCCGAAGGACTAATAGCTAGATCTTTCGTATAGGGATTTAATAGATCATGGCCTTTTGGGTTGTCACTAAGGAGAGGTGAGAAACAAACAAAACTCAAAATTTGGGTCTAATTCTTCTCCAAGAGGTGAATTTTAGGGTGGGAATTTTGGGATTTTGGGTTTGCAAGGGTGGGAATTTAAGATTGGTACCTAGCCCAGAAGGATAATGTTGTAAGTGGAGAGAAGCCCACATGAAGACCAGCAGCAAAGGCCAGCTCACGTGAAAACCAGTAGCTAAGGCCAACCTACACAACTTCATGCGAGTCAGCAGCCTAGGGTGGTGGGATTGGTTGTGAGCGATCTCACCAATAACAAACTTTCTACGACTCTGATGTGCGCACCGTCAGATCCGGTGGCTGATACGCCTTCTAGGTTTTGTTGAGATTACCCCAAATTCAAAATAACATGTCCACATGCCATAAAGAATCCCAGGGAGAATGGCTTTTTCTGTTGTTAGGATCAATCATAGATTCTTCGATGGCTGAATCATCTGGGAGAATGGCCATAAATACATCATCATCTCCGGACATCGCGTTTGAATATCCAACGTCCAAATCTAAAATGGTCATTTTGTTTGTTAAGCTTTGTTTGATCTTGCCCGCTGCTTGAGCCTTCTTATATGCTTGGCGCTGAAAAAAAAATTATGACCTTCTAGTTGTCTAAGTATGCATGTAGGTGATCGACCTATGCATTTTCCTCTTTAGTAAGGCCAAACAAAGAAATGAATTTCCTCTTTAGTAAAGAGACGATTTTCCTCTTTTGTTTGATCTTGCCCGCTACTTGAGCCTTCTTATTAACTGTGTAAATACCGCGTATTGTCCAAAGAAAAGGGTAACTTTGCTAGATCAATGTCGGAATATGGTTCGACTTCAAAACCCAAAACGTCTGCTTTGCGAATATGCTTGAACCTCACTTTCATGGCTAGATCTGACAATCTTTGAATGATATGTTTGGTGACTTGAGCATTTTGGGCTGCCTGAGCACGACTTCGAGCATTACAACCATTACATTGTTGTCTTCCCTTCTGGGGTTTATACATGATCGTGTAGGCTCCGACAAGTAGATTATATCTATGCCATCAAAGTTAAGCTTTCATCGGACCAAAAGCTTCTGTTCAGTGGACTAGGGACTTAGTCTACCAAAAACTCCCCTTTGATCTGATCCTAGACTTTGGCTACTTGGTTAAGACTCAACCACCGAACCATCATGTTTTTCTTTAACTAGTGCCCCCGATTGGGACGAAATTCCATCTTAGCAACGCTGTACTTTTGGATCGACAATAGTTACAATCGGCCCTTCGAAATCACTCGAACTTAACTCATGCGTAAAGTCAGTCAAATATGTCGAGTTTGGGTACATCTCTGGTGGTTCATTCTGGGACAAGTCAATCTTCAATCTTGGTAAAGAGTTTTGCTTAGGGACATGATGCATTTTGATAAACTCCCTTATTATTTTTTGCAAATGTTTCTTCGATAGGTGAACATCGACCATGTTTACTGTTGCATCCGGGAATGGGTTTATGTCAATCAATACTTGGGTTTTCTTAGGAAATTTTAACTTTCCATTATCTATCCAAGTCTGGATGGCATCTCTGAACATCATAGTTGTTGGTCGGGTTTTTGCTAGAGTCGGGATACTTGCAATATACTTTGCCTTTTAGGTCTTTAGCTTTGGGTATATTATGCCCGGGTTGAAGCTTAATTATCTTGGTTGCCAAGAGCTGGTCAAAAATCGCATCGGCCTTAGTATTATTAAAAGTATAAACCTTTGATGTCTTTATCACAGCTTCGCCTAAAGCAGTATGAGTTTTTGTATCCTTAGTGTTAGCATGAGTTAATGCCTTGTACACAAATGGTTTATCGATCACAATTTTGACTGCATCAACACTAGCATATTAAGCCTTAGTATCGTTGGCCGAAGAATAACTCACACTTGGATTTTTGTACAAAATCCCTTATGATGAGGTCTTTTTATTGTTTTCTTTCCTAAGCAAAGAGTCATATTGTTCCACATGTTTGGCCAACTCATACGTATCCCAAAAGTTCATGCCAAGGAACTTTTTCTATAACTCCATATTCAAGCTATTCTGAGCTATCCACACATACTAAGCCTTGGGAAAGCGTACTCGACACCAATTATTAGCTACTTTGAATCTATATAGGTATTGGGCTGAAGATTCATCGAATCAAGGATGATCCACTGGTGGCAAGAATTTGCCTGTTCTTGTTTGAGAATCAAGTTGCCAATCTCACGCTTAAGGATGATCTTAAGATGTCGAGTATGTTCTTGAAGTTTACGCCAAAAAAATGTTTTTTGGTAGAACATTTGATGTGTCATCATCATCATTGGCACATTCCTCAAGTATTCCTCCTGGAAGGCTGACATCGGCAAGCTGAGTGATCTGAGTGATAACCGTAGCCGAATGTCTCTACCCGTCAAGATTAATTTCCACTTCTTGGCATGTGCAGATTCAAGAGTGACGACAACATGTGGGTCTTGTGTCGTTTTTGTAATTGTGGGTATTACCATTTGGTTCACGAATGTTTGATTTTCGGTTACTTTTCCCATCATTGACTTTTTCTTGATGTTGCATGTTTTGATGGTCATGAACTTCATAGTTATTTAGGATTAAGTCCCACTGGGTGTACCAAAATGTTGACTCTAAAAACTATTTAGCCTACGTGGCACATAAGCTGAATAACTAATGAGCTAACTACGTCTTTTGGATAAATGCGGGGTGTGCCAACTTGACCACCGAGCTCAGTTGGTGAGTGAATGAATATGGTGGTGGTGATGTTAAATGCGCTACGACTATAGTCGAGGAAGGAACTCGCCTCAACTTCTGGGTTCTAGAGCCTGAAGAGAAGGCTGCTAGTTTCTTTGAAGTTCATGAATCGTCAGCATTGAGCTCATTTGCTATAATTATATTTGTGCAAATATAAATGCATTGAATCGATACCAGACTTTAAACATAAATACTCAAAAGTGATAAGTGTCTTGGTTGTAAATGTGGTTCGGTCGTCGAAATGTCGAACTCTGAAATGTAGTTGTGAATATCCAATCATAAAATAGGTTTGGCTTTCAAAGTGTCAAATAATGTAACCTAGTAACACTTCACTTTTCCGAGAAGGCTAATAAAGTGACCTCTCCTAGCAAGGACTCAAAGATTCCTTGCTGACTGAGACTTGGATCAATAACCAATCGGTCTCAAAGCAGTGTTGTTAAACCTAACTGAAGATGTTCTTTGGTTGCTTGATTTTACGACTCTAGTGTTGTTAATCCTAACTGAAGGTGTCGCCAGTTGCCAACCACAATGTTATTAAGCGTAGCTAAAGATGTGTTTGACGAAGTTAGAAAGGTCAGTGTTTTCTCAAAGATGAGAGGGTTTTCTTAGAGCCAGAGTTTGCTCAAGGTGAATTTGTATGTTGATTTGAAGAGGCTTTGAACGTTGCACATCCTCTTCTATTTATAGTGGCAACTTTTACCTAGTGCCAAGGTAGTCCCATTTGGATTAAATCTCCTTGGCATATCCTGAACAAATTGTTTTCTTGTTTGGATTACACTCAATTACTTTACCAGACTTGGTATTCTGAACCCATCCATCTTTTGGTATCCAATTCATCCCCTAGATTACACTCAATTACTTTACCAGACTTGGTATTCTGAACCCATCCATCTTTTGACATGTCATAAAAAACAAAAAAAATTATTGCACACTTGTCAATCTGTGATAAGCTAAAGGCTATCTCCAACCCAAGGGGCTAAAATATAAAAGGGTAAATTACATTTTACCCTCTCAGGTTTGGGGTCAATTTCAATTCCTTACAACATCTTTAAAACATTTCAATTTCATACATTTAGTTATCATTTTA